CCCCCCCCCCCGCCCCCAGTTTGACTGGAACAGCTGAGGGAGGCAACCCACCGGCGTTGGGCCGGGACGGTGGGGGCCATCCCGGAGCCTGGCTCCCCCCGCCAGCCCCGGTTCCGGCAGCTGTCCCTGCCCGCCTCAAGTGCGGAGGGAGGGAGAGGCGTTAAACGATACGGGCACATACTCCCTCGTGAAAGAGATCCCTTCAGCCGAGATATCAATGTGGCTTCTCCCCTCTCCCTCCCTCCCCGACACCAAAGGGTTTTACTACGCTAATCCCAGCACCTGTCCCTGCTGAGGACGGCAAGAAGGGTATGGGGGTGGGGGAGGAACGGTCCCATATGTTTTTCCCTGTCCTGGATTGGGAGTGTTCCCTCTGACGCACCTAGAGCCCAGAACATATGCTCTTTTCAGATCCTAAATGCTGTTTGCTTCCTCCTATCCCCGGTGGCGGTGGCTGCGAAGATCCTGTGTCCCCCTCTTCCCGGCAGTCGCTCTGTTTGCTGCCCGGGAGCCGTAGGACGCTCCTCGGTCGAGGCTTGCAGGGCCGTTTTCAGTAGGGGATTTCTAATTTTAGGAGCCTCTGCCGCCTATGGTTGAGCGCTGCCTTGCTGGATCCCAGAAGAGAGGGGCTGAGCTGAGCCAAGCCAGGCAGCTCCTTTTTATTTTCAGCTGAGCTAGTGTCAACCTGAGTGGCCCCAGAGGCCCGAGCCAAGCACTGCGCAGGGCTGCCAGAGTCCTTCCCACAAGGCTGAAAGACGGAGACTCGGGTTTGAAGCTTCCAGTCCTGTGTCCATTTGGCCTTTAGCTGGAGGATCTTTGGCTATGTATGGTGTGTATTGTATGGATTACCAATACCCAGTCGTCCAGGTAAGCAAAAGGACAGTGGCGACTTTATAGAGTCTTGGTGTTTGCTCTGTATGTTCCTCGGGCAGAACTGGAGCTTATGTGCTGGTTTTGTAGAAAGACACTGCTTCCGTGCTGGGCTCCTTGCTCCTTGGCTTGGTGTGTCCCAGGCCTCAGCAGCCCGGAGGCTCTGCGGAGGGCTTTGAGGCTCCTGCACGTGAGCGGAACCATTTGACGCTTTAACTCCAAGGTCTGTGTTGTTTGAGACTTGTGTGTTTTGGTTTGCATTTTTGGCTTTTTTCTGAATTTTTTTTTTTTTTTCCCTTGTAGGGGGGTTGAGCTGACAGCAATGCCATGCTCTGCAAACTAGTATGTTATTGCGTGCCTTACTGCATTGTCCGGGCGCATGTGACTTGTACGTGTGATTGCAGTCCGTCCCGCAGGCATGGCGAGCCACCCAGAGCAGCTCCTCACCTGTTTTCCTTCTCCCTCCTCTGAAATCACCCACAAAACCTCTGACAAAGTCTCGTTCGTCACCTTTTCGCTTTCGGAGGCCCGACGAGGATGTGTAGGGTGATAGGAATGGGTGGGTTTGAGAGCAGAGCTCAGGGCAGGGTGAAGCCTGTATTGCGGCTTCTGCTGGGGGAGGGGGCTATATTTGGAGCACACGTGAGATTTGCTGGCCTGGCGTGTGGAGTCTTGGAAAAGCCAGAGGCCACGGGTCAGGCTCAAATACTTTTGGAGCCAAGTGAAAGATGATGTTCTCTGCGCAGTCCTTGGCTATTCAGTGTCAGCATTCGTTGTCCTCACAGGCACCAAATTTATCCAGAAAACATGAAATGTAGACTAGCGGCTGAAGATTATCTACCCTAAGATACGTCAGATAGCTACTAAAGAGTATTTTGTTAGGTTACCTTGTACCAGGGGTTTTATTACGCACATGAATAGAATCCACCAGCAGAAGTGTGTCTTTTGGTTGTTAAGATTTGTTCCTGATAAATTGGTTCTTTGCACTTGAAACTTTTTTTTTCCTCCCTCTGGCCTTGATCCAGCTGGCAGGTTTGCTCCATCTAAACTTGAGCCAGCATAGAAATGCAGGTAATGGGATGTTAAAATTGAAGGCTGTGCTTTCTTTCCACCCTAGCAGCAAAGGGGAATTATAGGCATAGCAAAAGAAGAAGGAAGACAAATCCTGAAACTCACGGAAAGCGGAGTACTTGTGGCTTTCTCTTCTCTTCTCTCTCCATTTCCATGAGTCCTATGGGTGTTAAACTAACCCAAGCATTTGAAAGTGCCCATGTAGACCACTTGGTTAGACTAGAGGTTAGTTCTTCATCTGTGCTCTCACCAGGGTGATTTCAGTGGCCTTGTCCTGTGACCTGCTGCATAAATATCTTTCTCCAGCTTATTTTCCATTAGGATTCAAATGATAGGAGCTAAGCAAAAAACCATTGTGTACATCCGAGTGAACACAGACAAGAATATAGAAGTGGCGCAGACGTGCTCAGGTGGGAGCAATGAGCTTTGCCTGGCATGATAAGGGTGATAAGCTGTGCCCTGGCACTGCAGAGGCCGACTAGTTGAATTTGCCCATAGTTATTTCAGAATGCTACTTCCACAGCACGGTAATGAAGTTTCAACGCATATGTGCCTGTGATGCACGAGAAATCATGAGAACTCCTAAGTATTGGCATCTAGAGCCGTTCTGAGCATGTTGCTTTTTGAATAAATGCAGTAAGTAGGAAGGGATGATCTCATGGCTCTGAGCTGCATGTTCTTCAGGCTTCCAGCCTTCAGCTCTACTTGTGCTTCTCTGTTGTTTTCAGCAGCCTGTTCTGCAGTTTGAGCCTTTGGTTTTGCTCAGTAGAGGGAGGCAAACAGCGATGGTAAATTGGGCAGTGGTTCCATGATTTGCACGTAGGAGAAGCTAAGTGGAGGCCCACCAAACTTACTTCACTTGGCCATGAGACAACATCTGAACCCCCAGCCCTCAGTGAGGAAAGGTGAGTCACACAGATTCACCAATTAATTTATCAGTCTTGTTCATTATCAGGTATTGCTTTGTGGGCTGCAGTAGAGCCCAAGATGACAAAGACCTCAAGTGTTAACCGTGTCGGATCATGTTTTTTCCATGGCATTCTTGAAGCTTTTGAAACTCTGTATTGGGTGTTCATTTTGGCTGTTTTTGTGGCAATCCGAGCTCCTGTAGACCTGTGTTTCTGGTTGCCTGAGCACATCCATTGGAAGTTGGGGCTTTTCTTTTGCTGAATAGGAGCAAAGGCAGATATATTCCAAGCATGGGGGAGGAGATGCTTTCTGGCCTACAATGGAGATGAAAGAGGGAGACCAGCAGTAGATCGCACTGAAGGGAATTCCCACTCTGCTGGCACATGAGCAAAGCAGTCGTACCATCTGGGTGGTGGGAGGCAGTGCAAGGGAGGGTTCAGTGTGCGGTTGGGCACCTCTTTTTCCTTGGAGGATTCTTTTTGATGGCAAATATTTCTAGAGGGTCCTAAGGTGAAGGCCAAAATGGATCAGGAATGATGCTATCCTGGTTAACAGTGGTGAGATGATGGTAGCATGTCGTTTCTCCGTCCTGAAGGTCTGTGCTACGGTCCTAGATCTGGGACAAGAACTTGCTAACCCTATGGCACAGAGGAGACTTGGTGAATGCAATAATTAAATTAAGTGGAGAGAATAAGGAGATTATCCTGAGTGATTTGCAGAGGTCTGGTGAATGAGATGCACGTTGCTGAAACCTGGTGCTTTGGCGTGGCAAAGGTATAAGGATGTCACTGTGGGTTTTGCTGCTTTGAAATTGAATTTACACTCGATCCAGAATCGTGCTCCAGAATCTCAGGTTTGTAATAGGGGAGGGGAAAAAAAAATAATACTTTCCCTGGTTTTGCAATATTGCCTGTAAACCTGTAGTATCATAAAATGCAGGTTAGCAGAGAGGATGAGATAACTCGGAAAAATGTGGGCTCTGACTCAGAGCCCTGCGGGCAGCAGCCGTGGAGGCTGGCTCCTTCCCAGAGGACCCCACACCACGGCTGAGCGTTGGGTCGCGTGGGACGGCTGGCCCGTGGCTCTCTGCCTCCGTGCTCCGCTGGGACGTAAGGGCTCACCGGTGTCTCGGTCTCAGGCTTTTAATGCCGGAGGAGAGAGCTGGGCTGGGATGCGTGCTCCTGCTGGCCTTCTGCTGAATTAGGAGAGAAAGGGAAAGGGAGGGAGTGAGCCAGAGGTCAGTTTGCAGCGAGTGAAATTGGGAAACTGAAAAGCACCGTGGGTCAGCACGGGCTGCCTGGAGAGCAGCGCCGTAGCAGAAGCCCATGAAGCAAAACCACTAGGCTTTGCTTTTTTTTTTTTTTTTTTTAGTGTAAATTATAACTGGGCATCTTCACGCGAAGGAGAACGCATGGGGATGCAAAGTGTTACTGCACCGTAATTTGGCTTTGCTGCTGCTAAAGCCTGGGGAGCCTCTTGAGTACCAGGTGTCAAGAAGAGACGCATCAGAGGGGCAACTTGCCTGAGCGGGTTTTATCTCTGCGTCATGAGCCCTGGAGCATCAGCGCAGTCCTCTTGTCTAACCGAGGGGTCGGCGGACCCGCCTCAGCCCCGTCCGTGGGTTTCCGTGGGTGCAACGTTGGGAAGAATCAATCGGAGCCTCTCCGATCCCGTCTGCCAAATGGGGTGGCTGCGTATCGGTCTGTTTTACGGGGTCGCCGGGAGAACAAACGCTGCCAACCGTGGCGTGCTCAGGTGTTGAAGGCCAGATGCTTACTGAAGATAAATGGGAGGGGAAAAAAAAAAAAAAGGCAAGCTGGGAAGGAGTCCAGCGATCTCCCAGTTTTTATGATGAAAGAAATGCGGATCCTGGCACGGATAGTGCTTCCGGTTCATCCGCCGCACCGTGTAACCCACGCGTTCTCCCCCTTTGTGGCAGGAGGGAGGTCTGCGCAGAGCTGACAGCTCCCTCCCGAGCATCCTCCCGCGGGGAGATGCTCTCTCCCGCCTCCTGAGCTCCGGGCGGGGGGGAACCTGACCGCTATAGACCCGACCCGCCGGGAAAAGATGGTAGGTGAGGAGGAACCGGGGACCGGGCCCCGGGGGGGGGGGGAAGCAGCGCTTTTGTTCCCAAGCTCGGGTTTTGGGGGGCTCACGCCGAGCCCCCTGGGGGTCCCGGGGAAGGGGCGGC